GACTGTTTTCTATAAATCATAAAACTCTTATAGTCTAAAGATTTAACTCACAAGACTACCAGCATGTGTATCTCTTAATGGTTTTGCTTTCTTATGGAGCAAAGTAGCTATCATTCACTTTATCAATCATCAGTATAGGATGTGACATATCCAAAATACTCTTTTCACTAATAATCAGAAACAGCAATGAAAACAAGTTACTTTTTAAGGAAAAAAAATACTCACTCTATAATTCAATAAGAGTTTTCCTATTATACCAGAAGGAATCAGGGAAATTGTATTGTAATTGTAAATGCCAAAGTAATGCTATTGTATTGTAAATTCCAAAGTACTATGGACTTCTTTCACAGGAATATCTGTGCACAGCATAAAAGTACAGTATCCCTTTTAAATTTAATGATAATCTTGACTGCTATTTCCTCACTTTACAATAATAACAAAAACATAACTTACTACTTATGATTATTTCCACAGAGAACAACAGAGTTGCTTTTTCAGTATACAGGTAGTTCTCAGCCTACAATCATTTATTTTGTGACTGTTCAAATGGCACTGAAAATAACGTCTTATGACTGGCCCCAAAGTGATACTGTCAAAATTTCAGCACTTAATAACCAGCATGTATTTAGAACAATTGTGGTATCCCAGGGTCATATGATCACCATTTGGGACTTTTCCAGCCAGCTTCTGACATGCAAAGTCAATGGGGGTAATTGGATTTGCTTAACATCCCCAGTAGGCCCCAACTGTTCTTTTTGTAAGGGCCTAAAGACCTGTTAGCTTGAGGACTCAGTAGAGGAACAGTGCAATTGAGGTGGCCAATTGAGTAATAACAGATCCTACCTCCCAAGCACTCAACCCCACCCTTCCTATTTGTCATTGATTTTAATATCTGATTTTAACTTTTTATGTTTTAACTGTATATGTAATTGTAAGATGCCCAGATTTACCCTATGGTAAGATGGGCGGCCAATAAATTTTATAAATAAACAAACAAATAACTAAATTTTGTGCATTACAACCATTTTGCTTAGTGACAGAAATTCCAGTCCCAATTACTGTTGTAAACTCTCCAACTGCAATCCGTAAAAAATATTAACAAAGCCCATGATTGAAAAAAGTCAGTGTTGTTATAGTGGTTAATAGTATTTTTGATTAGGAAAACTTGGCTTTTAGGGTTTATTATTCAGGATTTTTTGGAAATTTAAATATCAGGAAATAATTATTCTTTTTCTAAATTATTTCTTGTTTTTTATGTTTGTCTCTTTTCTTACCCTTTTTGCCCGGTTACAGTTTCCCAGGGAAAAGCCAGGTCATTTTCATCATGGGTGTAAATTGATTGCAATATCCTTAGTGCTGCCTAGTCACCTCCTTTGTTCCTTTTATACTCCTTGTTGAATTTTGCATTAGTTATGCTTGTGGGAGCTTCTGTCCTTGTTTCAAAATTCAGAGCCTTAAAAATTACAGCAAATTGCTTCCAGCTTCCATGTATATACTACCATTCTAATTTTATGCATGAATAAATAAATTCTTTGACGTCACCTCAAGTACTTGCTGTAAAATTTGCTCAGAAATGACAGCATTTAAGGAAATTCCAGATTTGCTTGTTACTTAATTGGTATTCAATCACTTTAAATTTCCTTATAGGAATTTTCTTTCTAGGATTTTATGCATCTTTTGCTCAAAACATTTCTAATAATAGAGAACAGACAAATGTTGTTTTTATGTGTTCACTAGCTTGAGAACATGGCAGTTATGATAAAATGTAAAAGATGGAAATGTAATTAAACGATAGGACCGGGATGGCGAACTTATGGGACACATGCCACAGGTGGCACACAGAGCCATTTGTCAGGGCACGCAAGGCGTTGCCCTGTCAGCTGGCCAGCATGCATGTGTGTGCTGGCCAGCTGAGTTCAGCCTTTTTTAAAGGCATTTTTCACTCTTTCCAGGCTCCAGAGGCTTTATAGGAGCCTGGGGAGGGCGAAAAGAGCCTCCCCCCCCATGAGGGCCCTCCAGAGCCCTTCCCTGAAACCTCCAGAGCACAAAAAACCAGCCCTATGGGCAAACCGGAACAGACTTCCAGTTTGCTCGTAGGGTTGGTTTAAGCCCTCCGGAGGCTTCAGGGACCTTCAGGAGGCTTCACTGAAGCCTCCGGAGGGCTTAAACCGTCCCTACGAGCAAACCGGAAGTGACTTCAATTTGTTCGTAGGGTTGTTTTTTGCCCATCAGAGGCTTCAGGGAAGCCTCCTGAAGTTCCCTAAAGCCTCCAGAGGGCCTCCGGGGGGGGGAGGCTTTTTTGCCCTCCCCAGGCTCCTATAAAGCCTTTGGAGCCTGGGGAGGGTGAAAAAAGCATGCAAAAAATGGGGGGAGCACCTCTCATGCGTGCATGTGCACTGGGGGGGGGTCGTGCATTGCATTATATGTGTGGCACGCCCACGCATGACCCCCCTGCGTTCCACCCTTATGGCACACGAGCCAAAAAAGGTTCGCCATCGCTGCGATAGAAGATAGAAATATTTTACATGTAGGTATATTTATTAGTGGCTATTTTTTGTTTGTTTGATTCTAACCCTCTTCAGTTCTCATGTCTACACAGCTCTTTCTTGCATAAATTTCTCCACCCCCAAATATAAGAGTTAATAATATAAACTTCAGGCAAATTCATAAAAGAAACAAATACATAGCTTTTTTTGGATTCCAAGCACATTTTAGCAACATTTAAATAAATGAAGCAAGGAAATTTGAATCTAGATTGTAGGCTGCTTATTTGTTTACTTCACTGAAGCAAAGTACTGGGGAAAGAGAAAAGGAGAGAGAGAGCTGTTAAATTAATAATTTTAAACAAAAATGAACCACAACTTATTTTGAAATAGAACAACGCATTAAAAATGTAAGAATGGGAATTTGAAAAAAGAAGAGATTGGCAAAGCGGTATGTAAGCTAATCATTAAGAATTAGGAATGAATGGCAGATATAACCACAGAATAACATGTCCAATAAATAAATAAATAATCAAGCAGCTAAAATGATGCAAATTCATGAGCCAGCAATGTTGCAGGAGTTTCACAAAGATAGTTCATGCTGTTTTAGGGACAAAGAAAGCATTAAGTATTCGGCAGGTATCTCAATTAGGCCCTTTTCTCTTTTTATTTCTTTTTTTTTAAATTCCATCATCCTACCCTCCACTTTATTGTTGCAGACAATAAAACAGGGGTGGGGTGGGGGGCAGAGAGAGGTGGAGGACCTTTTTTGCAGCACCAACTTAGATCCAGTACTTTTCCATGAAAAAATGTATCAAAATAGTGGATTTATTTTCTTGTAAAACTAAGAGTAACAGTAATTACCAAAGTGCAGGCTGTTAAAAAAATAATGATAAAGTGTTTTTATAAGTTTTGAACTTATGTCGAAAGGCAAATGCAAAGGTAAAGGCAAATGAAGACCATTAAATTGTAATGAAGAAATCTATTTGGTAATATCACTCAAGAGTCCTCATAGAAGGTAGAATCCATACCAACTTTGGAATGATCTCCATTCAGTGAGATCTATCCCAGGCTATAAATATTAGACAGGGACAACAGCAAATGCTTTCATGTCATCATCGTTGTTGTCATCATCATCCAAATGTTTATAAATGTATTTCATAAGTAATTTGTTTCTTTATTTACTTACATACTTCTACTGTTTGGGTGTAGTTCCCATAATACATTTTGCTCATTTAGAGAAAACATGATTGGAAGGGAACTAGAACCACAAAAATGGGTTCAAGGCCTAAATGCATACTTGGTTCTCAGTTATACAGGCTTGAAGTCAGTATAGAAACTAGTGCAAGTAGGAGAATAGATTGGAGGTTCAAACCAATCTTGCAATGCTCAGCTGCTATGTATTTTTATTTTTGGCTCTGGTAGTTTATCTAGTTTAATGCACGCTATCTAAAGCAGGGGTGTCAAACTCACGGCTCGCAGGCCAGATGGGTCACGTGCTGGCCACGCCCTTGCCCATTTTAGAGAAGGGGGGAAGTTGTGATATGTCATGTGACACCACTTTGACAAAGCGAGTTTGACACCCCTGGTCTAGAGTCATGTATGTAGATGGAGAAAAGGAAGGAAGGAAGGAAGGAAGTCACTTTAAAACCTAGGAATATAGAAACAGTTTATAGAACACTTAAGTGAATAGTGTTAATCTGAAGAGTTTAAATGAGTATTTAAAACATGTGTCTGATATTTAAATGATATCAGAATCAAATGCCTCCTTGCTGAAATAATTCAAAACTAAGGAGTCATGATTAAAAAGGATCCACCAGGCTTTATCCCACCCCATAAACTTTACATTCAGTACAAGTAGAAATACTCTATGTTTACTTTGACAGCACATATTCTAAAGTACCAATACTAGATGATAAAAAATATGAGTGCTACATTTTTGTTGTTTCTTTAAATTCTTTAAATTTAATGTTAAATATATTACGTTCTCTAATTCTCTCTAAAGTTCAATTCATGTTTTTCTTTAAAACACACAGAAGTTGAACGACTGTGCATCTATGTAAAAAAAACCATACTCCATGAGCCCAGAGATGCTTTTTTGAAACAAAGCACTAAAATAATGTATCAAATATGTTCTGCTTTAAAAAACACTGGCAACTTTGAACATATTTGTCTATCAACCAAAAGCCATGATTATTTTTCATTTCTTTATTACTTAACTTTTTGTATCTGGCTTCTGGACCTGGTTGGCCAATGTACCCATGGCCTCTTAGGTTAATGATTCATATACAGCTATATCTAAGATCAGCAGTTACTGATTTCTTCAGGAACACTGCTATATTCACAGAATAGAACAGAACCCTCCAAAACAAAGTTATTTTTCTTTTTCTGTGTTGCTAGTTATGGAAAGAACTCAGTGGTTTGCAGCCAGGTATCCAACATATTAATTGGAGGGCAATTCTATCTTTTACCTCTTATGCTCACGATGAAATAATAGTGTCAAATTAAGCAACTTACTTTACAATGGTCATGTTGCTGCTGTAAAGTTGGAACATCTCCACCAACAGGCATCTGCTTCTTTAATTCGTCATCTTTCAGATTTAGCCACTTGATAAGTTCCTCCAATGATACCAGTAATTTACTCCATTTTTCTGCACTTGCCTCCAAATGAGCCCTACAATAAGATTGAACACATTTTTCAGGAATTTTGTGCTGCATTAAAACATACCAGATTTCAGCTGTCAAATACTGCATTGTGAATAGAATGCAATTTTCTTTATTTAAAGCAAAGAACAGAACAAGCAACGCCTTCATATCTTTGAAAATTATTTATAAATAAACGAATTCAGTAAAAAAAAAAGTAACACCGTGATATTAAAATGCAGTTTAAAATATTATTTAATATATTCCTAAATATGTTAAAAATAAATAAAAGCACCAAAAGCTTGTCTTACTTCTGCACTGCCTGCAAATCCAAGCTCTGGCCACCATATAAATGGATCTCAAATTTTCCCCCACTCTCCAATGTTTTTAAGGCAATCGTTTTAATTTCCATTTAAGCTATTACTTGATAGCCACATTTCCAGAAAGGAATAAGCTCTTGAGGGTTAACTGTCACCCAGATGAACATTGCTGATATTGATTATATGTTGTATTTTGCTGAATCAATAAATCACTAGAGCACCGTGCAGTATTTCAGTTAAAATGGCATGCTGTTAGTGTAACTACATTTGATGTCAGATCTCTTTAATTTAGTCCCTTGTTTATGTCAACACACAAAAAATATAAACACTATAAAGAAATTGTTACAATCTTCTACAGCCATTTTTTTCCTAGAATGGTGGTAAAAGTATCCCATACTTCACTTTCAAATCTATATGTTCAAGGATATTAATATTGAGAGCATTACAACTGAGAAACAATTTTAATACCTATATGTCACCTAGGCCCCAGGACACAATTAAAAGTTCTCATTTTAGTTTTCTGATAAAAGTTTTTAGTTTTCAGAATTAAATTCTAGCAGCAGAAAAAGAATTATTTAATCTTTAAAGTAATGCAACAGGTGCATAAAATCCTCAACCTGGTTACCAAATAACAATTTGTTTCAATTCACATATCGCCCAGAACAATAAACTAACAATACAGGGGAAGTATACACAGCATTATAAAGCACAAAATACGTAACCAAGGTTTAGCAAAACAAATTTAGCATGATATACAGTAAACATACTAAACCAGCCTGGTTAAGTTTGTTATATGAAGATAATTTCATATTTTCTAGTAGATTATAGAGACAGTCATCAATTATTATTATTTTTGTGGGAAGGTGGAGAGAAGTGTTCCCATGCTACAAGGACAACCATCAGAACACAACATTCATCCATTTATCATAAGCCCTACCAAAAAAAGTAGTACAAAGGTAACACCAAGGCTTTGTTGAATTTCCACTCCCTTCAGCCAATGGAGAACTCCAAAAGAAGGCTTCCAGTGCCCAACTCCCATTCTTGCCCCTCCTCCTATCCAGGGGTGGGTCCCGGCTGCTGCTACTGCCGGTTTGCTCAGGGACACGCTGCACACGCGCACTTGATGCGCGCTATGCTTGCATGCACAGTACTATAAAAATGCTTCTGCACGTGTGCAGAAGCAAAAAAAAACAACAACCAAGATAGGTGCCTCTGAGAGATCTGGTTCAGGGGCATGACAGGCCGAGTTACTACCTACTCAGCCAAACCGAGCCAAACCAGTAGGAACCTACCTACTGGTAGGCTCCTATCACAGTAACATTTTACAGTGAGAGAAGCAAAGCAAAACAATGCATGCATACAGACATACCCATTCTGGACCCATTGTCCAGAATGCAGCCGCGCGAGCGATCGTGGGTGCACCTCGTTTCACCCACGTAANGACAAGATCATGAACTTTCAACTGGGTGGGAATCCTAGGTAACTTCCAGAATTGGGATTCCACAGATGTGCCAAGATGTCTGACTTACTAAATTGAAACTTTAAGGATCGTTTTGCCTTGAACTGTGATTTAATTCTGCATGATGCTTGGAATGCTGACACACATCCTACATTATCCATATGCAGCATCTGGAGGTGGGATAAGAAAGAAAGCACAACTTCTTGAGCAGAATGCCATCATCCTGGGTTGTCTAAGCTAGGATGGATGATATGCAGATGATGAAATATGGATCTGTCATCTGGAAACAGCCAGTAAGTTACTCTCACATTGGAGCAAGGAGGCAGTGTGGATTTGGTACCAACAGTCACAGCCAAACAGGCCATTCATGCTATTGCAATATAAGTCTTGAAATATGATATAGCACACACTTCCAAAGTGTATGAAGGAGCTTGTAGGGAGCTAGCTTGAATTAGTCTTTAGCTTGAAGGATTTAGGTATGTCTAAACTATTGAAGAGAAGGATTGGAGGAAATATGGTAACTGTTTTTCGGTACTCAAGGAGCTGTCACAGAGAAGAGGGGATTGACTTTTGGTCCAAAGCATCAGAGGGTAGGAAAATAAATATTGGGTGGAAGTTTGCTAAGGAAAGATGCAACCTAAAAGTAAGGAGAAATTTCCTGACAATGAGAACTATTAATCAGTGGAATTGCTTGTCTCCTGGAGTTGTGGGTACTCTTATCACTGGGGGTTTCAAATGTTGTCATCCTGGACAACATTTGTCCAGGATGATCTAAGGTCTCCTGCCTGGAGTAGGGGGTTGGACTAGAAGACCTCTGATGTTCCTTCCAGTCCTAGGATTCTATGTTCTACATTCAAAGGGGGCAGAGGTTATGGTATGATGGTATGATACTGCTAAGGAATAAGAGCCAGGAGACTCCCATATTCTGCACTGTTCATCTTCTTTGGTTAGGTGGCTTATGACAAAATCATGGAAACTATCCCTCTTTCAGAAGTGGTGGAATAATAATAATATGTAGGCTGCGCCTGAAAGGCATTGCTTGTGCTGGGTTAGAATTTGCTGCCAGGACTGCCATCTAACAAAAACGAAGCCTTATTTCCACTGCTTGTCTTCTGATCTTAAACCTTCTGGCAGTGGTGACTAGTTTTTCCTTCCAATGTTGTGGAAATGTGTTATTTCTACATATGATTCCCTTCAGATTAGGATTATATATGTGTTAATGGCCTCTTAAACCACCTCAGCATATTCCACCACAGTGAGTTCAATAGCTCTCTGAATGAAAAGGGCATAATGAAGCTGTCCATTGCCCAATGGACACACTTCACAAGGAGGAAGCTCTTGGTTGATCCAAATCATCCAGTACCTTTCTGTTCAATGGGATCAAAAAAGAAGAAAGAGAAAAATTACTGAGTAGCCCATGGATACTAGTTTTCCCCACAATATCACCTTACATGTCGGATGTTCTTGCTCAACCAAACTTAATCATTACATCATTAAAAAGGTGATACTGCAGATGGCCATCACCATAAAAAGCTCCCATGGCAGCTTGCTGCTTTTCCTTCTATTGTAAAAATATCCTGAATATTTTGTGGCATGAGTCTATCAGATAATCTACATTATGAATTTGGCTGATTCATCCAGTAGCATTTTCCAAATGAACAGATGGAGCAGGAGCAAAACCACAGATACCTATAAAGCAGACACTAGATCCTTATTAGAACTTTTGCAGCATCTTAAATCATCATGAAACTAGGATGAAGTTGTACAAAACAAATTAGAATGTCAATTCTTAGTGTCTATAAACTCTACTGCACATAAGAATATCTCCTAATAACCCATCTTTTAGGCCTCAATAGACTCTCTCCAATGACTGGGGAGAGAAAGGTAAATATAGCTTCATATCTGCTGCTACACATATNAGCAGCATTGGATATAGAATAGAAAGAATAGGAATAGAATAGAATAGAATAGAATAGAATAGAATAGAATAACAGAATTGGAAAGAACCTTGGAGGTCTTTTAGTCCAACTCCCTACTTAGGCAGGAAACCCTACACCACTTTGGACAAATGGTTGTTCAATCTCTTCTTAAAAACTTCCAGTGTTGGAGCCTTCACAACTTCTGGAGGCAAATTGTTCCACTGATCAATTGTTCTAACTGTCAGGAAATTTCTCCTTAGGTCTAAGTTGCTTCTCTCCTTGATTAGTGTTCACCCATTGCTTCTTGTCCTATCCTCAGGTGCTTTGGAGAATAATTTGGCTCCCTCTTCTTTGTGGCAACCTCTGAGATATTGGAAGCCTGCTATCATGTCTCCCCTAGTCCTTCTTTTCATTAAACTAGACATACCCAGTTCCTGCAATCGTTCTTTATATGTTTTAGCCTCCAGTCCCCTAGTCATCTTTGTTGCTCTTCTCTGCACTCTTTCTAGAGTCTCCACATCTTTTTTTACACCATGGAGACCAAATATGTTCATTGCCTTGAGCTATTTATACAAATAATAAAGATGAGATAAAGAAAATCTAAAAATCTAAAATAATACTTGAGTCATTCAAGTCTCAAGAATTTTTCATTACCTTTATTTTCTTTCCCTTTAGGATATGTTCCTTTTGAACTGTCAACACGGATGCAAATGAATAAGAATAAAGGCAGGTCCTCATAGCAACATGGATATCAGATAACATTGTGGGTGCAATGTCTTTTTTATGATGGGCAGATTATCTCTGTTTGTAGTATGATCAATCACAATGAGAAGGTATCAAAGAGGGACAAAGCACAAAATGATACAATACATACAACAGACCGTTGTGGTGATCTAATAGGATCTGATGGATATGCCCTAAACAAACTGGTTAATAGTTCAAAGGATCTCTTATTCAGCCTGTAAACCACATCTCTCCAAACGTAAAGCATTTCAGTATAGTTTATTTGCACCAATCAGGATACTCCACATGCATTTCTCTGTTCTCACAATGTTACTTGATTACTGGTTCAGTTTCAGTATTTCCCAGACTGGACAGGGAAAAAGCAAGTTATGATATTTTGAAACAATGATATTCTATAGATTTTGAGATGATTTCTTTTCCTATTGGTAGAAATTATTACTCAACCTATTTCACTGCTCCCAGACTTTAGCAGATGCTGCATTCGGTTCTTTGGGCTTTAATAGGATGTGCAAGTAATCTTCACATAGCGACTGGTTGCTTAGTGACTGTTCAGAGTTATGACGGACCCCACAAAAGGTACTTATATCAC